GCATTACTCACTGTCCCCACCCCTACAGGTCTGCATGTGCTCTGCTCTCCATGCTTCCTCTGCCTAAAGGCTCTCCAGAGCCAGCATCTTTTCCAAGACCCACCCCTGCCTGATGCTTCAGTGGTTGGGGTTACCAAACTGAATCAGTGGTTGAGGCCATGGGTTCTGGAGTCCAGACCTGGTTCTCACACTTGGTAGCTTGTTTCTTAACATTAATCTCTTTGCGCTTCAGCTGCCTCTTTAAAACCATCCCTCTGCTTAACGGGTAAAGGCTCTTTAACCGCACCCACTAGAATGTGGTAAGGTGAGTGGGAGCTCCACCCCCAAATCCAGGGGTTCTGCCTTCCAAAGCCCCTGGCATTCTAGGGCAATGTTCCCTAGAATCTTCTCCCCACCCACTTCCATGAGTGACAGATGAGTGGCAGACCTTGGCTTACTGGCAGAACCAAGGTCTCATGGGCCATTCCCCAGTTGGCTGTCCCAGGCAGGTAGAATGGAAGTATGTTGATGGGTCCCACATTGGAGCTAGGAGCAGAGTAGGGAGAGACCATCAGAGCTCCATAGGGGGTGACTCTTCCCAGTCAGAGCTGCCAGGGTGGTAGTGAGCACCCCATCTCTGGTGACAGGCAAGCAGAAATGGGACAGGGTGCAGTGGGGTCTGATCAGGATGACCTCTTTCAGGCCTGGGGGTCTCCCTATTCAGCATCAGGAAGGCAATGGCAATGTCAAGCCAGAGGTGGCTTCTGGCTATACCAGGAGAACTGGAGGTCAGACTTGGAGGACCTCAGGCTAAAGAATGAAGCAGAAAGATGGGGACTTTGCCAGTGGCAAGGACAACTGAGCATAGTTGTCTGAGTGCCCAGGTGGCTGGGCGAGTCTCTTCCACCTTACCTGGGAATGGAGTCTTGAAAGGGGTGGACCTTCTGATCTCCATAACACCCCCTAGGGCTTAACCCTCCCCTTGTCCTATCACTATGGAAACTGAGAATTTCCTTCCAGGGTCCCCATAGTAACTGACCCTGTTTCCATGGGGACCCCACACTTCCACATCAGCTCCCCCGTTGCCATAGCAACTCCAGGGATTACCAGCCCCTCCCCCAACCCTGGCTTCTGTGCTACTCTCCCCATCACCTCAGTCCTGCCCTCTTCAGTTGCCTTAGTAATGAAGGCAGGGAGGAAAAAACCCTGGTTGCCCCTCTGAGGTACGGAGGGGGGCTAAGCACCAAGGAGGCTATTCTTCCTTCCTTTTTCCCATTTCAAGAGGGTAAACTGAGGCACAGGAAGAAATATGACCCAGCTAAGGTCCCAGAGGGAGCAGGGGGACTGACCAGGTTTCCATGAGGCAATAGAGCTCATCAGTCAGGGGTGAGGGACCAGGGATGGGTGGGCAGAGCAAGGTCAATCCCAGCTTTGACCTGACCTTCCTGGAACCCTCAGTCCTCAATGGCATAACTAGAGAGTTCAGCCTGGGTTCCCTTCTTGTAACCTGAATGTTTGTCCTGTCCTGACCTTTGTGACCCCGAGTGCCCCTCAGCTCTCATGCTCTCCAGTGCTCCCTTTCCCTGGGGGCTGTGGAGCAACACCAGTGCTCAAGGCTGAGAAGGGGCCACTCATTTGCATGTTATTTTGCATAACTTTTACACGCTGCCCAACTGCCAGCCTGCTGGGTGCTGTCGTAACCAGTCCCCTTATCCTCTCACCCGCTTCCTACGCCCTCCTCGGGGAAGCCCTGGTGGGTTGAGTGCTCTGGATATGCCCCTACCCAACCACCAGGCCTCCCTCTCACTCCTGACAACTTGCCCCTCGAATTTCCCACTGCCAACAGCTCCTGCTGTTCCTGTCCCCCAGCCGTCAGGGCCCAAACTCAGCCTCCTTTGGCGTGACTTCCCTGATTTGTCACGGCTGTGGGGCCTATCTCCTCCATCCAGCCATTCAGCTAATACTTAAGGAGCACCAATGTGTGTGAGATGTTGGGGAAACCACAACATAGCCAGCACAATGAGGGTTAAAATGGGGACGTGCCTGAGCTGAAGTTCAGCTTGGCCTGAGGGGACAGGGAGGAAGGCCTCCTCAAATCGGGGGAGAAGGCTCCACGCAGAGGAAACAGCTTGTGCAGACCCACCTGAGGCTTCCTGCCCACAGGACGAGACCTTTCCTGGGTAAAGTCACACAGGATGGAAGCTGGGCTGGAGCTCTGCCACACACTGCCCCAAACTTGTCCGACGATCTTGGTACGGCCCTGCCTTGGTTTCCCCACTAGGACTCTGAGGGGCTGAGACTGAGTGATGTCCAGGGGCACTCTGGCCTTCCTTCCTCCTTTAGTTGTCACCCACAGCCCCCTCCCCCAGGGGACTCCGTGGTCCCTAGGTGAGCAGGGCCCACAGAGGTAGGGGGTGGGCAGGTCTGTGAGGGGAAGGAAGGGCAGAAGGGGGGTTGCTCCCCAGGGCGGGGCCCAGACCACAACTGGGGAAACAGGTTTTCAGCTGATGTCAGCTCTCACTGCTGAAGGGAGGGGCGCAGGTGTTGGGGGAGGTTTCTAGCTGGGTGGCTGGCCAACTCAGGGGTCTCTGAACACCCTCTGTCAGCTCAAGCCCTTACCTTATCTTACCCCCTCCCCCAAGCACACACACAATAGGTCCCTAGCAGGGCTCAAAGTAGCGCAGCCACCACTCCCTGGGAGCCCAGCACAGAGGGGTGGGGACCGTGTTCCGGGAGGGGAGCAGGACTAAGCAGGCAGGAAGGCAGTGCTAGGAGGCTGGCGGGAGCTTCCTCTCCCTAGGCGGCCGGCCCCGCCCTGCTCCCCGGTTCACACTCACATCCTGGATTTGTTTGCCTGTCCCCAGGCTGCCCCCTGCCTGTGCAGGCTTCCAAGGCTGCAACCAGCCAGCCTGTGCCCCCTACCTGCCCTGTCAGGTGAGGAGCTGGAGAGGGAGAGGGGACTCAGCACAGATCAGCGCTAAACACCTGAGGGAATAGGGGGCTGACCATTGGCAGAGCTCAGCTAGAAAGGGCAGCGGGAGACAACCATGCTGGAGGTACAGTGGGAGACCGTACAAGACAACCTTCCCCCAGCAGCATGCCACCCAGCCTGAAGGCCCACCATTAACATCCCTCAGACTCATCACCTGGTTCAAGCCCCCCTTCTCCTGTTCACAAGTGAAGAAACTGAGGACCAAGAACCTGCCCACGGCCACAGAGGCAATCAGAGGCATGAGGGCCAGGGGTAGGTTTCCTTCCCAATCTTTTGCTCCTTCACAAGCACCAACCCTTGGAGATGGAGACAGAGAGGCTAGGCTGAGGGGACCGGATCGGGCTAGGGAAGCAGGAGCCTTCTCTAGCCTGGACCAGCCACAGTGGCTACCCCTCTGCAGAGCCCAGGCCACCCATGAGGGCAAGGCTGTGCCAAATCCACATATAGGGAAGCAGAGGCTCAGAGGTGTAGAGAGCTTGCCCTGGGTCATATCAAAGAGGGACTGTACTCCATGTACTGCCTCTTGCCAGGGGCCTGGACCTCTCCCTTATGGCCTGGATTCCAAGTCTCTGGGGCCCTAGACCCGGCCTGAGTCCTGGGAGACAGTGTGCCAGCCTCTTCACAGCGGGCCAGCTGATCTGAGCTCGAACTTCCCCCCAGTGACGAGATTGGGGCATACAATAGTCTATTGTGCCCAGGGCACACCTGAGCCAGGAGCACGATGCCAGGCAGGTGCAGGGAGAGAGGGTGGTGCTGGGTGAAGAGGAGGGGGGTGTTACCCTGGGATCCTTCCCTGCTAAGGATGCAGAAGGAAAGTGGGGGCCTGTGCGTATGAGGCAGAGTTTAGGGGACACGGAGTTCTCGGCTCTGATGCGACACCTGCATCAGAGTCACTCCCTTCACCTTTTGAGGCCACTTGAGGTAGTCTCTGAGACAGGACGGGGAGTTCAGGAAGAAAGGGCCTCCCTCCATCCCTTCTAAACATCCCTCCTAGCTCACCCCTCTACCCCTAGCCTTCTCGTCCAAGACAAATCTTTTCTTGTGGCTGGAACCCAGGTCTACCCCCGTGGGGTAGGGGGTGAGATGGGGCCGCCTCGGATCAGGGAGGGGCTCATCACTGCCGCTTCGCTGGGGGGACGGAGATCTGAGTTTACTCAAGTTGAACCGCAGTAGGGACCCTTTCCCCTTCCTGACGGGACCCCCGCCCCGCTCAGACCCGTCGGCCATGAGTACCCAACGGGGCCGCGCTTACAAGGAGGGGCAAGCCCAAATTCAAACTAAGCCTCCCTGACCCTCACGACCCGGCCAATCTCTTGTTTATTTTCCGGGCCTCAGTTTCCCCATCTGCAAAAGGGGGTAGTGCCCGGCGGTCGTGGTCCAGGCCCCTCTCCTAAGACACGACTGAGACTGCGAAGCCCCCACCCAAGAAGCTCTTGTGAGGTGCGCGCCCGCGAGGGTCATCCCCCAGGTATGGGTGCCAGAGGCACCGGCGGGCCGGGGGCACACACGTGTGTGCGGAGCCCGAGCAAGCCCGGCGCGGGCGCATCTAAGGGGCCGGGGTGGCGGGGGGCGCAGGTGCAGCAGGCGCAGGGAGCGCGGAGCTGGGGGCACGGCGGGCGCGAGGCGGGGCGGGCTCACCTGCGCGTAGTAGAGCAGCCACAACTCGTAGAGCCGCTCCGAGGCGGCCATGGCCCGGCCCGGCTCCGGCCCTGCTGCGCGCCACCTGCCGCCGCCGCCTCCTCCGCGCCGCCCTCCGGTTGCCCTCGGCCAGGCCCATGAGCGGAGGGCGTCACTCCGGGGCGGAGCGGCGCGGTACTACTGGGGGAAGTAGTACTGGCCCGCGCCCTGCTGAGGCACCCAAGTCTGCATGCTCCTCCTCCTCCCGGCCGTCCGCCGCCCGGCTTCCTGCACTTCGCTACCGCCACCGCCGCCCCGCCTCTCCCGGGACCGTGCAAAGGGCGGGGAGCCCGCGGGAGGAGGAGCCTGAGGTCAGGGCGCCCCGCAGCCCCGCCCTCCTCAGTCCGCGCCGCTACCAGTGCCTCGGGAGGGGCTAATCTGAGCCTCCCGGACGAAATCAGGGATTATAGATCTGGGGTCAGAGATTCCAGACTTGCCCCGGGTCTAGATCCGCCCGGGACGCAGCCCGCCTAGCTGGAATTGCCACCACTCCTACAAAGGACAGCCCCGCGGGGTCGGGGGAAGGGGCTGCGGACCTCCTGCAGATGGCCAGGGTCCTTCAACAAGTATGTAATGATTACAACGACCGTCATGACCACTTTTAGAGTTTACCACGTGCCCGGTGCTGTTCGAAGCGCTTTATGGGGAGACCATAGTGCCACTATTTTGCTCCTACTGTTTGTGGAGCAAGATTGGGGCGGCGGGATCAGAGAGCAGCAGGACAAGCCTGAAATTCCTCCGGGGCAGCAGTGCCCTCCATCCTTCAGGCAGATGCCTGGGAGATTTAGGCAATCCTTGAGGGTCCCTTCCTCCAGGAAGCCTTACTAGAGGCTCCGTCCACTCCAGGGCCCCGCACTTGCTTCACATCTTTTGTTTTCTTTAACCTTAAGAGATTAAAGGCAAGAAGGTGCCTCATGCCTCTGTTTTACAGATGGGGAAACTGAGGCCCAGATGGGCCAAATGAGGGCCACCTGGGCAGCCAGGGACAGCTTGGACAGGGACGGAAGCCTGACTGACTCTGCTGGGCCACTGCTCCCATCACCCCTTAGCCCATCCCCTCAGCCGGCCTGGGAGGTGAGGGACCCCCCACCTGTTGTTGGGCAGGGGTCAGACCCTTTGTTGGGACTGGGGGGAACTTGTGGGGCCCAGAGAGGTACCATCGGTGGGAGGAATTGACCAGTCTGGAGCCTCCTAGACTTTGGGTGGCCAAGAGAAGACTCTGTTCCATTCCCTTTCTGTTCTGTCCTCCTGGCTTTTTGGGCAGCCCCTCTATTCTGGCCTTTTCTCCTGCCCCATCTATCCCACCTCTGAGCTGACATTTCCTGAACACCTACTAGCTGCGTACAAAGTACTACCTGCGCACTACGCCCAGGCAGGGCACCCCGCCTGACGCAGGGAGAGGATACCAAAAGGCCAGGTCAATGAGGTCAAGAGGGTCATTTTAGGGGGAGGCTGGATGGGAGTCTGTGGCACAGGGGCCTCTGAAGGAAATTGGAAAGGGAGGAGCAGGTGTCCACTTGCTGCCAGCCTGGGAAAGGAGGCCACAAGCAGGGAAGGGCTTTGCTGAGAGACAAGTCATGGTGTGGGTAGGGGGGAAGAGGGAGGCGTGGTCTCCCCTCCCCAGGTGGGAGGCGGTGTGGCTTTGGGGACCCAGACATGCTGTCAGAAGATAGTGACCTCAGCCAAAGTGGTCTCCCAGTTGTCAGGGCATGTAAAGAAGACTGGCAGCTCCTGCTGGAGAGAAGTGCACCTCAATGGCCACCTGCTGCAGTCGAGGCCAAACCAACTCTCTGAGCTTAGTTCTCAAGAACTAAGCTCACTAAGCTCAGAGTTCCTTGGGGCCTTCTGGGCCCTGGTTGGGGTTTGCCCTTCTCCGGGTTAGGTAGTCTGACCCTGGATACTCTGCTGCTCTAGGGGGGTTAGAGATGGGAGTGGATCATCCACGAGCCTGGAGAAAAACGGCCATCCAGCTAAGCCCTGCAAGGCGCAGGCTTTGTCTGCTAAGAGTGGACACAGAAGGGTCTAGGGGCCCATGGACAAGTGCATCCAGGGAGCAATTGATACCTGGAAAGGAAGGGAGAGGCAGACCTCTTATTAAGTTGGGGTCGCAGGGGAGACTCAGGCTTCCTGAGGGCATTCGAGCCTTGAAGGATCAGGACAAGTAGACAAGGATGGATCAGCGCATTCCAAGCGGCCGGCATGGAGCGAGCTGTGGTTGGTGCTTAGGCAAAACCAGAGCAATCGACGCGCTCTATCCTCCTTCACTCAGGTCTGATTCCTCTTGCTGCTTTCACACTGATTGGCGTTGGACGAATCGAGCCTTAGAGCCCCATTCTTTGCCGGCCCTACACGGCCTGGGCGAGTTGCGGAGGAGGGGGTGGGCGGGCCCTCCTGTAGCAACTCAGCATTGATTGGCTTTTAGGACTTCCTGCTCTCCCATCCTCGTCCCTGGATTGGCCATGAAAGGGTCATCTACTCCTCGGGCCTGCGCGATGCGGGACGAGAGACGAGGAGGGCGGGCAAGATGGCGGCTACTCCTGCCGGTGTGGGCCGGCTAGAGGAAGAGGCGTTGCGGCGAAAGGAACGGCTGAAGGCCCTGCGGGAGAAAACCGGGCGCAAGGTGAGAAATATGGAGTGGGGGCCGTGGCTGAGGTAGCCAGTGTTCGGATGCCAAACAGGGACGACGGATGGCAGGGGACTACTAGGATAAAGCCAGCTGCGGAAGATGCGCATGCGCGCGTGGGGGGAGCATGCGCGCGGACTGAGCGCTAGGCTTGGTGGACTGGCGCCGGGCTCCTCCAGTGTCGGTCCCGTAGCCGCGCCTGCGCGGGGCCTGGTAGGGCAGTGGTCGGCTCCTTGCAGGCCGTTTGGCTCGTGTTCCGTGTTTCCTCTGTAGGTCTCCAGGGCCACTTCCAGTTTTATTTATTTATTTTGTTTTGTTTTGTTTTTTGGGGTTTTGTTTTTTGAGGAAGATTAGCCCTGAGCTAACACCTGCTGCCAATCCTCCACTTTTTGCTGAGGAAGGCTGGCCCTGAGCTAGCATCCTTGCCCACCTTCCTCCACTTTATATGTGGGACGCCTACCACAGCATGGCTTGCCAAGGGGTGCCATGTCCGCAGCTGGGATCCGAACCGGGGAACCCCGGGCCGCAGAGAAGCGGAACGTGCGAACTTAACCGCCGTGCCACCAGGCCCGCCCCGCTTCCAGTTTTAGATGCTCGTTGGTTTAAGTGTGATTTGTTCGCCTCTGAGCGCGCTGAACATTCCGCTTCTGCATGACTGAGCTGGCCTTCCACCCCTGGTGAAATTGCCTGAGTGTGGCAGACCCTCCCCTGTCTGTCTGCGCGCCTTGGGCAAGGCAGCAGAGGACTGTGCCCTGGGCACCCAGCTGGAGGTTCAGTACAAAAATCCAAAAGGAAAGATACATTTCTAGATCAGGGTGGCTTCAGAGAAAGAGGAGGGCGCTTCGTTCTTTCCCAGGCTGCTGCTCTGGGGATGGACCTCCTATTCCTGTCAGTTGCTAAACTTCGAAGCATTTTTCCCTGCTGTCGTTTGACACCAAAATGGTCTGATTCCATTTCTACTTTGTTCATCTTTCCAAAGTAATCGAGAGGAAGGAGAACTGAGGTTCATTACCTATGTGCAAACCCTGGCCCTGTCACTTGGGGCTGTGGGACTTGGGACAGATTGCTTCATCTCTCTGAGCCCCGGGTTCTTCATGTCTGCAGAGGATAACAACCCTTGCTCGTTCATTCTCACTGGGTTCTGTTGAGAGCAAAGAGGATAATCTGTATGAAAGGGCCCTAAAGACTACAGAGGGGTTGTTGGTTCTGCTGTTGTTGGATGGGCGAAGACTCTGTTCTCAACTCTACAAAATACAAAGGATATTAAATATCTAGACCTGTGACGGATGAGAGGAAACAGGGACTCACTTTCGAACTTTAAAAAATCAGGCTGATCAGTCTGGCCCCTGTTTCTTTTTTTGGGTGGCTGTCTAGTGTCCTGTGGGAAAGAGAAAGGGGAAGTAATAGAGAGTGAAAGCTGGCCAGATTGGCTTCTGCTTTTGCTGGCAGCTTGTCAGCCTGTCAGACAGTTATCCCTGCAAACTGGCCTAAGGAAGCTCAAGCCTCAGCCTCTCAAACAGCGGCTGGTCGACCTGTGCTGTTGGTCTAGATTTAGAGCTCAGCTTAGGGTTTACATTATTGGTACTGGGTTTGAGGTTGGAATGGAGACATACAAAGATCACATCCTCAGGGCCCATTTCCATGGGAAGGATGCCCGAGACCAACAGGAGAACTGGCCTTTAAAGAGGGATTCTCTCAATGGGCTGAAAATATGGTCTGATTGTTATTTTTTCTTTACTTTTTTTTAATTGTAGAATACACGTAACAAAATTTACTATTTTAAGTGTACAGTTCAGTGACATTAAGTACATTCACAATGTTTTGTAACTATACCACTATCTCTTTCCAGAACTTTTTTGTCATCCTCAATGGAAACTCTGTACCCATTAAACAATAATTGCCCATTCCCCTCTCATGCCAGCCCCTGGCACTTTGTGAATTTGACTATTTTAAGTTTCTCTTGTAAGTAGAATCATACAGTATTTGTCCTTCTATGACTGGCTTATTTCACTCAGCATAACGTCTTCAAGGTTCATCTGTGAAGTAGCATGTGTCACAATTTCATTCTTTTTAAAGTCTGAATAATATATTTTTTTTAAGATGTTATTTTTTTTTCCCTTTTTCTCCCCAAAGCCCCCCGGTACATAGTTGTATATTCTTCGTTGTGGGGCCTTCTAGTTGTGGCATGTGGGACGCTGCCTCAGCATGGTTTGATGAGCAGTGCCATGTCCGCACCCAGGATTCGAACCAATGAAACATTGGGCTGCCTGCAGCGGAGCGCACGAACTTAACCACTCGGCCACGGGCCTAGCCCCTGAATAATATTTCATTGTATGTATACTACCTTTTGTTGATTCACTCATCTTGGGTTGTTTCTAGCCTTTGGCTCTTGTGAGTAACAAATATACAAATATCTGTTTGAGTCCCTGTTTTCAATTCGTTGGGGTATATACCACCCAGAAGTGGAATTTTTTAATCATATAGTAATTCTATGTTTAACTTTTTAAGGAACTGCCATACTGTTTTCCATAGCAGCCCCATCATTTGGCATTCCTAGCAGCAGTGCACAGGGATTCCAATTTCTTCATATCTTTGTCACTGCTTGTCATTTTCTGTTCTGTTGATTATAGCCATCCTAATGGGTGTGAAATGATATCAAATTGTGGTTTTGATTTGCATTTCCCTAATGATTAGTGATGTTGAGGATCTTCTCATGTGCCTTATGGCAATTTGTGTATTTTCTTTGGAGAAATGCCTGCTCAGGTCCTTTACACATTTTTTAATTGGATTTTTTGTTGTTGAGTTGTAGGAGTTCTTAATATATTGTGGATATTAATCCCTTGTCAGATATGTGGTTTGCAGATATTTTCTCCCATTCCCAAGATTGTCCTTTCACTTTCCTGATAATGTCCTTTGCACAAAGTTTTTAATTTTGATGAAGTCCAATTTATCTGTGTTTTCTTTTGTTGATCCTGCTTTTGAGTGAACCATTGTCAAATCCAAGATCATGAAGCTTTTCTCCTATATTTTCTCCTAAGAGTTTTATAGTTTTTTTTCTTTTAAGGTTTTATTTTTCCTTTTTCTCTCAAAGCCCCCCGGTACATAGTTGTATATTTTTAGTTGTGGTTCCTTCTAGTTGTGACATGTGGGATGCCGCCTCAGCATGGCCTAATGAGTAGTGCCATGTCCGCACCCAGGATTCGAACCAGTGAAACCCTGGACCACAGCAGCGGAGCATGTGAACTTAACCACTCAGCCTCGGGGCCGGCCCCAAAGTTTTATAGTTTTAGCTCTTACATTTAGGTCTTTGATTCATTCTGAGTTGATTTTTGTATATGGTATAATGTAAGGGTCTAATACGTTCTTTTGCATGTAAATGTCCAGCTTTCCCAGTATCATTTGTTGAAAAGACTGTCCTTTCCCTATTGAATAGTCTTGGCACCCTTGTTGAAAAATTGTGTGACCATAGGTTTATTTCTCGGCTCTCTTCTATTCCATTGGTCTTATATGTCTGTCCTTAGGCCAGTACCACATCATTTTGATTACTGTAGCTTTGTAGTAAGTTTTGAAATCAGGAAGTATGAATCCTCCAACTTACTTCTCTTTCAAGATCATTTTGGCTGTTCGAGATCCCTTGAGAATCCATATGAATTTTAGGATTTTTCTATTTGTGCAAAAAATATGATTGAGATTTTGATAGAGGTTGCATTGAATCTGTAGATCATTTTGAATATTGACATCCTAATAAATGAAGTTTTCCAGTCTATGAGTGTGAGATGTATTACCATTTATTTAAGTCATTAATTTCTTTCAGTGACGTTCTCTTGTATAAGCTGTTAGTCTCCTTGGTTAAAATTGTACAAGTCTTTAGCCTCCTTTGTTAAATTTATTTGTATTTTATTCTTTTTGGTGCTGCTGTAAATGAGATTATTTTCTTAATTTCCTTTTCAGATTGTTCACTGCTAGTGTATAGAAATGTAAATGATTTTTGTCTGTTGATTTTGTATCCTGGAACTTTGCCAAATTTGTTTCTTCTAACAGTTTTTTTGTGGACTCTTTAGGATTTTCTGCATATAAGATCATGCCGTCTTGGACAGAGATAATTTTACTTCTTCTATTCCATTTTGGATGCTTTTTCTTTCTTTTTCTTGCCTAATTGCTCTGGCTAGAACTTTCAGTACCACGTTGAATGAAGTGAAAGCAGGCATCGTCGTTTTGTTCCTGATCTTAGGGGAAAGGCTTTCAGTCTTTCACCATTGAGTGTGATGTTCTCTGTGGGTTTATCAAATATGGCCTTTACCATGTTAAAGAAGTTTCCTTTTATTCTTAGCTTGTTAACTGTTTTTATCATGAAAAGGACTTGAATTTTGTCAAATGCTTTTTCTTCAATTGAGATGATCATGTGTTTTTTCTTCTTTTTCCTTCATTCTATTATTTTATTACGTTGATTGATCTTTTTTTAAAGATTGGCACCTGAGCTAACAAGTGTTGCCAATCTTCTTTTTTTTTGAATTGCTTTTTCTCCCCACCCCCCCATTACATAGTTGTATATTTTAGTTGTGGGTCCTTCTAGTTGTGGCATGTGGGACACCACCTCAGCATGGCCTGATGAGCTGTGCCGTGTCTGTGCCCAGGATCTGAACCGGTGAAACCTTGGGCTGCTGAAGTGGAGCACATGAACTTAACGACTCGGCCATGGGGCCAGCCCCCTCATTGATTGATTTTTGTATGTTAAACCATCTTTGTATCCCAGGAACAAATTCCACTTGGTCATGGTGGAATAATGGAATAAAGGAATGATCCTTTTAATATGTGACTGAATTCAGTTGGCTAGTATTTTGTTGAGGATTTTTGTATCAGTATTCATGAGGGATATGGGTCTGTAGTTTTCTTTTCTTGTAGTGTCTTTGGCTTTGTCAACTTAAAAAGTAAATTGGCCAATTGTTTTACCTGCAAAATGAGTTTATTTGGGAATAGCCAGAGGAAATGCAGGCTGT